ACTGAGTAAAAAGAAAATTGGAATTACGAGTAAAATGGTTTATAAATCACAATATTCACTGTGCCGTAAAAAATATTGAACAATAATTAAAGACATAACAATCCTCAAAACTCAATCGAAAACAAAAGCAAACATGTCGAAACAAATTACTGGCGCTCTAAACAATAAAACGAGTCGTCATTAAAATAAATCACTATTAAAATTGACATTTCACACGCGAGTCCAAAAACTCCTTCGTATTAATATAACCGAATCTCTGGTATTATCAACCATAATATAAATATGGCGGCCGATAAATTTGAAAGTTTATTCCCGCCAGAGCGAGACGCAGGAGTCCCGCCGTAAATATCGTGTGAGATAAAACAATAAACGAATTACGTATAAATAAAGGAGCGTTTTGTCTTGACGCTTGTTTAGAATACGGGGTGCTTCGAAATTCAAACATTTTTTTTATTTACAGCCAACTGGCCAGCTTAGAAAAAAAGTTAAAATACATAGAAGTTAAGTTCGCTTGTGTAGTATTAATTAATAAGCCAAACAAAATGCTCTACAAGAACTCGTAGCGGAAAAGTGCGCAATGAAATTCTTGGCGTTATTGTAGAACGGATAGAAGGTAACTTTTAAACAAAGGGAATGGGGGAGAAATAATTGGGTCAGACATGAAACAATAACAAAGCAAGAGTCTGAAAGAGCTTTATTATTAATAATTTAAATCAAAATTTTATAAAAGTTGTTGTAAATAATGGAAGTTATTAAAGTTTCCTACTTAATTTTATACTTTGAACTGCTATGCTGTGATTTATTAATGAACTTTTTATTAATTAATTAATGTATTTAGCCAAGTTTTTGACACTGGCCATCCGCAATGCGCTCAAGTCTATAAAAAAAAGCAATAAAATGACACGCGTCAAAACATTCAAATTTTGAATATTTGAATTTAAAATTGGAACACCCCGTAGCGCGGGCAAAGCGCGCAGGCGCGTTGTCGCCGCGTAAAACGTATAAATTGGCCGGTGCTATCGCGCCATCGCGGCCTCACACCTCGAACGGAATGCGGTGATTTACACCCTTTCTCACACGCAGTACGTCTTCGCGCGTTATTCTGTCCTGGTACATTTGTTTCAGTTTTTAAGGAAATACACTACTTTTCCTTAATATTATTTCGTGTAGGTAAATTAAATTAAATATTACATTAATTTAATACGCCTAAACAAAAATTTTTACTATTTTAATCTTAAAAATCGGCTTAGGCTTTTTTTCGCTGACATTGTTGTGTTGTTGTCTCTAGGTTCTCTTAAAGAAATAATAGAGCTTTTTGGGTTCGATTCCCTGTTGGAGCAAACGTGCTATTTATAAAAATCTTTATGAGTGAGTGTTTTGTTGTGCGCGTTTGAACCAACCTAATTATTCCGTGTTCCTGATGGTCGATCTTACATAAGAGCAGTTTCAGCATTATCTAACACATAAAAAATCTGTCACCAGGGTTTATGACTCCAGATTTAATCTCCAGGTTAAAGAAACTATAATAAGTCATATTAACTACACAATTAGAACGACTCTTATTAAAAAAAACGAACGAATAACTTTCCAAACTTTTAATGCTACTGAACTCTACTATCTAACTTCTCGTTAAAAATATTCAAAAACTCAACGGTAGGATCATAAACAAAATAGATGAAGACACGGTGGCGCCCTCTGCCGTTACATAAATCGCCGTCGATTTTATTAATGTCATTTCTGTATCTCGATCTGTGGGGACGTTTAGAACCTTTATTATTTATATTGGGACGGCTTATCAGAAATCTTTTGTTGGACCGTTAGGACGTAAGAATTTAAATTGGGAACTTTGGGTAGTCATACGAGGTGAAAAGCCTCTGATGTGACGCATGCGTAGGTACTTGTACAGGTTTTAACTTTAAAGGCCATATTATAAAATAGCACACAAAAATTAATTAGATGCGTACTTGGGCTAAGTTGCACCAACTTACTTTAACCGTAATTTAACAATAAATAACTAACCGGTGTTTTTGACGTTAGTCAATGGTGCAACCCAGCCTTACGCCCGTATTCACAAACATTACTATGAGGTCGCACAGGGTGACACACGAACCAATCACAGAGCTCTATTCAACGCTGTGCGTTAGATTTGCTGCTTCACTTATGCAAGCATTGTTTATGAATACGGGCGTTAGTATAAAACAAAACTAGATTTAGTTTTAGTTGTTATCTTCTGTCGATTATCTTTGAAAAATGTACCAAAAAATAGTCAGTTAAGCCTAGATAACATTGACCTGCTTGTATCTGTCGTCAAAGTCGTAAATCATGTTTTTATTTCCGTAGTTTTATGGCGACATATATCGTGCTGACCTCTCCGACGACGTAGTGTTGATTTGGTAGTAAATTACACGGCAGAACCTACATTAATTGAATTAATTATATTTAAGCAATGATAATCATTGTATTTAAGACTCATTAAATCTTAGATAAAAATGATAAAAGTTTAGTTGCTGAGAAAATTTGGTATCAGTATGGTGACGACAAATAGGGTTCTGTTTTTCAGTATTTGTAAAATAAAGCGTGTAAATCTGTCTTAGTTTTAGTTTACGTATATATCGGCGCNCTTGAATAATTACACAGTTAGTACAATTTAGGCACGAAATTCTGCAAAACACTTGTTTGTTTTTGCGTAAAGCACAATTCTTACGATTCTGACTGGTGAGGATCAAATGCTCAACACCATACAGCCTTTTAGAGGTATATTAGAGGGCACTGGGCGTGTAGAAGGTCCAGGCTGAGTTCGAGGAGATCCATTTGTAAGAAGCGAATTTCTAGTAATTTACCTTCGAAACTTCAAAGTGTCTACAGATGCTTCAAGGGATCTCGCTATTTCGGCAAAGTTATTCATGGGAAGGAAAAAAATGGTTCTAATGTTTTTGACATGGTTGATTGATGTCACCGTCAATAAAATAACTCTGGAGTTTCGAAGGTCAATAGCTAGAAATTTGCTTCCAAAATATAGATCTCCTTGAACTCAGTCTACCTTCAACACGCCCAGTGCCGTCTAATATACCACTAAGTGTAAGGCGATATGGTGCTGAGCATTTGATTGATCCTCACCGGTCAGATTCGTAGAAATTGTGCAGTATGCAAACACATAACTGTGAAGAAATGCAGCAAGTGTAGTGTAAATCTCCATGACAAATGTTTTGNCGAGATATACTTAGATTTAGAGAGCATGCTTATGACTCGTCAAAGGACATCGCTGAATTCCTGTCTCGCGCCTGGGTACTTTGGAGGCGTGTCACAAAAGACAAACTGGACAACTCTGATGCAGTAGAGGCTGTTATTGGGTGCGTAAACGATGAACGATTGAGGATTGAATTGTTAAATACCAGGGCAACGACGGTACCCGAACTTATTTCAATCGCATCTTCGATACGTGCGAAACGTCCTCATTCAGGTTCAAATAATCCGGTACCTAACAAGCGAACACGCTTTTCGGAAGGCACGCAAGCTTTACCACTGTGTCGAATTTGTAAAAAGAATAATCACACTACCAATGAATGTCGGTTTAAGCCTTCGTTACCTAAACAAGACTCAAATAGTCAAGAAATGTCTCAAATTACCAAACCAACTTGCACATTCTGTAAGAAAATTGGTCACACGTACGATGTATGCTTCAAACGCGAACGAACTTTGACCTCTAGTGTTAATTGCATCGCGGGAACAAATCTTGCTCCGATAAATATCAAAATTGGGTCAAAATCATTGCGCGCCGTCTTCGATAGCGGCGCTGAATGTTCAGTGATGCGAGAATCAGTAGCTGAAACATTACCTGGACGTCGTATTCAAACAGTGAACTATATGAGGGGTATCGGTCAATTTCCTGTACTTTCTTTGACTTCTATATCGACCATTTGCGTTATAGATGACATAAGTGTTGAACTGCAGTTTTGCGTCTTGCCTGATTATGAGATGTCTACTGATATTTTGGTTGGTATGAACTTGATTAATAATACAAACTTGAGCATGTTAGTGACATCGAACGGAACGAGACTTGTTCATCAACAAACAATAAACCATGTGAGTACCCATAACTCAATCTTTGATAAACTAGACTGTGATCTTACGGATGATAACGAGACTTCATTGCTGCGCATGCTGTTGAATAAATATGAACACTTATTTATTCGCGGCTACCCCAAGACTCGTGTTAACACAGGGGAGTTAGAAATTCGACTCAAGAACCCGGATAAATACGTAGAACGAAGACCATACCGCCTCAGTCCGGTCGAGCGAGAGAAGGTACGTACTATTATAAGTGAACTACTGGAGCACAATATAATCCGCNTTCTACTAGTCCGGTTGTTATTACAAGCGGCCCGATTTCTTTTTTGATGCGTCAATAATTTTCTGTTACATTGATTACAATGTAATTATTATTGTCATTTGGCTGAAACGATACATAAATAATTTATACGAACCAATTGTAAAACAGTACATGGAGTTAAAACTGAATTTTTTTTTTTTTTTTAGTAAATAAATAATGATAATGATGATGAAGCCTTACTTTGTAAGACTATCAATAGTATTATTAGCATTAATCATACATTGATTAGTAGGTACAAACCTACCTAATGTTTTTCCAATACAAGAAAAAATGACGTCATCTTATGTACCGATACCGATACAGTTTAAAGAAGCTCTTAGATTTTATCTATTATTTATAGATACAAGCTGATGAGACGTCATGAATAAAAAAATAAACTTTGTAAAAATATCAGGGCTAAAGAAAGGCCGCAAAGAGACAAACAAAAATGTTGCCTGTTTGTTCAGATACAAAACAAGCATCCGTTAAAATAAGACCATAATTCTATTTGCTTTTCAGTGGCTATCGTGTTTATGTAATAAACATATTCGTAACGTAAAATTATAAGACAAAATTGTTTAAGTTTTATTCAAGATTATTATTCTTGCTATAATTTTCATAGTTTTTAAATAATTAGTTCATTTCAGTTTGAGAAATAACGCTTTATCGTTTTATTTGAAACGTTCTTATTGATTCAAATCGATTGATCGACTGTTTATTAATTTGATTATTAAAAGAGTTAAAACTTGGTTTATTAGTTAACCATAATTAACTTGATTGTTTTTAAAGTAATTATGATTGTAAGAAACAAGTGACAATTCGTAATTCAGACGTTTTTAAATGATTTTCAATACGACACGCGCGCCCTCTGGCGAACGGAATTGTCACTTGCGTCACAGAGCGGCCGCTAGTCGGGACGGAGCTCACTTTTGCTCGAGCCGCCGGACCGATCGGACGTATCTTGGACCTGTACAAGTTCGTGGAATAAACTGAGTGAGTTTCATTTGGATTTTTGTTATTTTTGCTGTGCATGGATGAGGAAAGTGAAAATGACGTCAGCAGGGCTGACGTCAGTATTTTTAAAAATATTTCTGGTGTCGGTTCCCCGTCATATATATTCCTATGCCTTCAGGTCGAAACATGACTGAGCCACTGTAGCCGACCGAGTCACTGTTGCCTCCTTGACCCTACACTGAGACCAAAAAAAATTGGTTCATAATCGGCGGAGATATTGTGTATAAAAAAGTTCAACCCGAATTTTCCACCCTTGGGGGTGAAATATTTTCTTCAAATTCGCATGAAACCACCCTTTTGATAATACCTATTCAACAAAAAAATAATCGTTCAAATTGATTTATAATCGGCGGAGATATTGCGTATAAAAAAGTTCATCCCCAATTTTCCACCCTTGGGGGTTGTTTTTTTTATTATTAAATTTAAATGGGACCACCCTTGAGGTATTACCTATACGCCGAAAAAAGATTTGTTCAAATCGGTTCATAATTGATGGAGTTATCGCGTAANAAAAAAAAAAAAAAAAAACATACGGGTCGAATTGAGAACCTCCTCCTTTTTTGAAGTCGGTTGAAAATGAACTAAAAAGATAAAAACAAGACAATTTAGTGTTAACAAATGCAATCGGAGTCATCTATGACTAATAATTTTGTTAGTGATATGTAGGTAATTGATGCCTCCGACTGCATTTGTGAACACTAGATGTCTTATTTTTTTCTTTTTAGTTCGTTTTTACGCAGTTGGGTTTTTTGTTTTTTTCAATAATAATTTTATTTTAATCTTTTTAGTTAAGCACCATACATTTTTGTAAGCTACTTAAAAAGCCATTTATTTTGATACCTCACCTGGTAGGGTAATTGCGCCGGTTTTCCGTCCAGCTCCTGTTTTCGTCCATTTGACCGACTTGCCACAAACAAATACGGATAATTAGAATACAATCCTAACTTTCCGTGCAAGTTTGGACTTGTTACAATCTATAATATCTAAGTAACAGTTCCGCCTGCATGAAAATGTAATTTGATAAGTAATAACTCCAAAAAAATCTACGGAAGTTGCTGCTGCACACAGGTGAATGGAAAACGTCGTCAAGTAAGAAAAAAAACGTGCTGGTAGGGAACTTTCATGGTATGTTTAATTACTGTTTTAGCTACTTTATGTAAATTTTTTTGGCACGTATGTCTAATTATTAGCATAATAAACACTATTTTAAGGGTTTATTAAAGCTTTTGTATAGAAATCTTAGATAATTAAGTGGACTAATACTAGCATAACAATTTTGCAAGATTTTGGTTTTCGTCCACGTGGACGGAAACCCTGACACCTAGTTAATATTTTTAATAATCATTTTACTTCAATGGACCTACAAAATACAACGTCTTTTCTTCCAATATGATCTTTATTGCTATTACAACAAACATTTTAGTTTACGTCCACTTTTTAACAGTGATAAACCCTTAAAACCGTTAAAAATATGTGGACGAAAACAAAAAACAGCTTTAAACGTTGTTGTGTTTTCGTCCATGACGTCATGAGCAAGCACTGGGGTGGACGAAAACCAAAATTAGCNTCGTCCATGACGTCATGAGCAAGCACTGGGGTGGACGAAAATCAAAATTAGCTATTCCTGTAGATTAGTTTTCGTCCATTTGTCCTTCGACCTATTGAAATATTTTCCTGAATTTAGGTAAGAAACTTATTTAAATCTTTTTGATATCATTTGAAAGCTAACAAAATTACCTTTCACATGATATACCACAATCCATAGTTACTGTATTGTAGAGTTGGTTTTAAGTTAATAATTCAACTGCACCCTTTTTTCTACACAGTGGTCGAAAACTAGCGTACACTAGGACGAAAACTGATTTTTTTGGACGAAAACTAGTGAAATCGCCTCTTTTGCATAAAATATTTTTTATAAAAAAACCCGTGGTATTTACTTATTGTCATATAATATTAACGTAAAGTAGACTATGTAAGGACTAAAACGACATATGATACATATGAGTAAGGGTATTTTAAAATATTTATTTCGCATCACAAAGTTGGCAACTCCGATAATTGGACGAAAACTAACGCACTTACCCTACCTGGTCTTGAGAAAAAAAAATTTTTTTTGAACACGTTATGGCGCCTAGAATCCGCCATTATGATTTTTTCCAATTTTAATATACACAGTGTCACTCTCACGATTAAGACGAATCTAACGACGCCTCTCACGCTAAAATCGGTTTAGGTTGTAGGCCGTGTCAAAGAAATATACATACATACATAAACTCGAAAAACATAACCCTCCTTCTGGCGCACTGGGGTAAAAAGAAATTCAAGATTGTTTACAGTATTGTACAAGCAAAAAAACAGACTTTATCTACTCAATTATATAAAAGTAATTAAGTAATTTGAATTACCAATTGCGTATGTACCTAATTGAATTAAATTACTTCCAAATTTACGTCATGTAATTTGAATTACAGTAGTTCAATTACTTTGATAAGATTCATTTGATAAAAATGAAATTAGTAGGAATTCAATTACACATGTATTAATTAATTACAACCTATACCTCTAGCACGAAAAATTTTCGACTTCGAATCGTTTACGTATTCGAATCACCATCAGGAGAGGCAATCGAGATCGTCATGTTATTGTCTAATTCAAAAGCTGGGTATCGAATTTTACGCAAACAATCATCATCATCATCATCATCTCAGCCAGAGGACGTCCACTGGGCCTCGTAACTGTTGCCCGGTTGGTAGCGGCCTGCGTCCAGCGCCTTCCTGCTTTATGATACGCTGCTTCCTGCTACCTTTACACAAACGATTAGATGACGAAAAATTTTCGTGCTAGAGGTACTAGTATTAAATTGAAAACCTAGTAAAATAGGTACATAAAGTACTTAGAAATGACGCCATCAAATCATGTTTAATTCATAACGATACAATTTGTCGTGGTTAACTTATTCCTTGCGTTTTAGGAATATTAATGACCTATTTATTATTTAAACAGCTCGGTTTTTACAGTTGAAGAAACTTTATTCAAAGCCAAGGTAAACGTTTACGTGAGTAACTGCGGGCGACGAGCACTGGCCAAAAGACGTAAGTGTGGGCAGGCTCCCCATTAAGTGAACCGACGATCTGGTTAGGGCGATCCCTCAGGGTGCTTGGATGCGGGCGGCGAAGGACGGCTGAAACGAACGATCGAAAAACTGCGGGCAGACAAGGTACTTAAGTTCTTTCTTGAACTGAATTTTAGCGTGAAATTCAGTTTGACAGAATTCGCTGCGAAATCGTGGGCAAATCATGCATGCATGCAAAGCATGCTATGAGTGTCAAAAGTACCTCTCTCTTTGAAAATTGACAATCAAGTTGTTTTGTTAAATCCCACGCGAGTCACTAAGGACGAAAGAAAGGACGGTTTATCTTTAAAAACCTCAATTACTTATCCAATGTAGCCTTGATACTTCCTGGGATTTCCTAATAAGTCAATGAGTTTATTCAAAAACATAAGTAGGTACATAATCTTTGTAAATAAAGAAGTATAGGTACGATATAAGAGCGTGACCTGTGATCTTATTTAAACTTAACATCTGACATTCTACCCCAGTTGAAACTGAACCACGCGGCGGTAGGCTGTGTTTGCGAACCTACCTCACTTTGGTACATATTTATTTTATTTATTAGAATATTGAATTAAATTAAGTGACTGAAATCTTGACGGATGACTTTCGTAGCAGTGAAAAAGCTCTGAAAGTTGTGAAGTTTTAAAAAACGTGACAAGCGTGCAAACACTGAAAATTAAACTCATTGGGAATTCCAAAATGGTAAGTTCGAATGTTCTTTAAGTTTTTCTCGAAATCATAAACTTGAGTTTTTATATATTAATGGAACTTTATGTCTGTTATCGTAAATCTTGGAAGTTTTTTTTAGTATTTTCCTGTAATGCCAAAACAATTCAGTTACATATTGTTTCAAATCATGAAAGCATCTTTATTTACCGGATTTTTTTTTGAAATGTAGAAAACGCCCTTAACATTTGTCGGGTAGGTTTCCTAACAAATTCCTTCGACTCTATGTTGTCTACATATTACCCTTCTTGATTCTTCCCCTATTTGATACCTTCCTAATCATAAGTTATTAGGTATTCTTCTTTATAACTGAGTCAGAACCTTCCTTGAAAGGTAATTGTATCAAATTTTTAGTGATTTTCAAACTACTTGTTATTGTTGTTACTTTAGATATCTATAGGCTATATTATAGGTATCTGACGATGTGCGTCAATATTTCAAACCGGTTGTAAATGCCTAAAAGCTAATTAAAACCTGCAATTAATTACTGGTGGAAACTGAAACAAATTGCCCGTAGTCAAGATAACTGGAGGTTACAGCTTGTGAACGTAAACAAAACTTACGGTATTTACCTTACTCTTTAGTATATTTTAGCACTTATACAACTACATACCTACTTAAGCATTTACTAACGTACCTACCTACTATAATATGTTGTACGTAACGTAGTACGTTTACTAATTAGGTAAGAAATAAAATGTAAGAGGAAGAAAATCGGCGATAAATCTTATAGCACACTACATAAAATTGCCGAAAGTTTCTCAGATATTTATGTTAATAATTTTATTATTTCTCATTCCTTTTTTTTTGTTTGGTATTTGATTTTATGGTAGCCACTCGAGAACTATTCGGCCCCAACCCTAACGGCCATCAGTTGTACGAGTGCCCCGCCCACTGTCACTTAAGATGCTGTCAATTTATTAACATTGCAGTTTCATAACTTTGAACTTACTACTTAGTTATTTAAAACAGACTTCCCTTACATATTATTATGGTAACTAGTTATTTTGTTTTATTGTGTTATCAAAACTTATCAGTAAAATAAAAATACACGTAGGAAATCGAGGCAATGACGTTCGATACGACAAGTCAGAGTTCAGGGACGAGCCCTGAAATGTAAGATACTCGTACTTATACCAAGCTTGATAAACAATAACTTTACTCGTAAAATTAGGATTGGAAAAAACCAGCTAAGCACAAGTGGGTCTCGAAGGGTCCTTCAAGGGCGTAGCTACTGCCGTATCAATGATACGGGACCCCGGGCTTCAGAGGCCCCAGGGCTGGACTTTATCGGAGTATTAGAGTAGTAGGCAACTGCTTAGAATGGAATTACTGTAATTTTGCAAAGACATTTTTTTGGATCAAAAGGGCCCCTTGATCTAATGACTTTCTTTAGATGAGCCCTCAACAAATTTTGATACAGGACCCGTTAGTACGAGAGCCCACGACCAAAATTTTTGTCTCATAGCAATACGGCCAAAACCGCATCAAATCGATAGATACGATTATCCTGAACTCGAAAAAAACAATATCAGACATTTTCCGCGTAGCGTTTGATCTGACCGAATTGTCAAAGAATTTTACCGAACTGCATCATAGCAATATGTCTGATTTGCAGACTGTAGTTGAATGATAGTTCTGAGATACCGGAAACATATTTTTCAGACGTTAGTGGTGTAGCGCAAACCCGTAAAGGTATACAGGTCGGCTAAATTTGTTGACATTTTCAAAAATTCGCTCAGGCTATATGCTACGCGCAAAATGTCTGAAAACAAACTTTTTCGTAATACAATTATAAAATCTATGTACATTTTCACTATCAGACGTATTGCTATAATACCGACTGTCTTTTTTTTTTTGAACAGCAGAAACGCAGTTGCTACACTTTCGACCGTTACTACACACCTAGTCGGGTTCAGAATCATACAATCTAACGATTTTATAGGGTTTTTGCCGTATTGCTATGAGACATGGTTTTGGTCGTGGGCTCTCGTACTACGTCTAAGGCACGCTACACCACTGCCTCACAAAAACACAAAATAAAACGGGAAAGATTCAAACGATTTTCACGCGCACAAAGTCGTGACCGGCCTGCGTCCAGCCTCCTGCTAAGTTTATGACGTCGTCGGGGTTCACCTTGTGGGTGGTTAAACCGCTACCAACCGGGCAGCATGGAAAGAATGGGGGGAGGCCTATGTTCAGCAGTGGACGTCCTATGACTGAGATGATGATAATAATGATGGTGAAAGTTGTGAGTAAAGTTAGTATTATGACTTACTTTTAGGTATTTGTTGTTTCAGATGAAGTATTTCCTCCAACTATCTTACTGTCTGCTGCTGTGTGGCGCACCCACACTCGCAGCGCCGGGCATCTTTGATGACCTGGGCCGTAGCCTGCAGAAGGAGGTGGCAGCCGCCAAGAACCCTGTCTACAATACCCTCACCTTCATCGGCTCCAGCCAGTGTGAGTCTCGATCTGACCTTTATAATAGGCGCTGGAGAACGAAGGGATCCTAGCTGTCCCCTTTTGACCACTAGCTAGGTATAGGTCCCGCGTTTCCGAATAAATGGGCACCGTTTTTAGTAGGCAGGACTTACCGTCCTCATACTAATTTTATGTATTTTCCGGAAAAAAATGGCGTTGATGCCAGAAGAAATAGACGACGCGACGGCTAGTAAGATAATACGGTGTTAACGTAAAGATATCAGTAAAGCGATGACGGACCTGTGTCTTAGGTTTTTAAAAATCTTAGGTGTAGTAAAATTTTGAATGTTAATACAGGTTCCCATGTCAAAAAGTTGGCTGGAGTCGCGTACGAGCAGATTGAGGGAGAGAAGGAGCCAGACCTGGACCAGCTCTCACTGAAATATGTCTCTCAGTAAGTGTTCCAAGGTGTACCGACCTCATAAGAAAGCAGGTAAAGGTCGCTACCAACAGGCCAATTTGGAAATCATTGGTGTAGGCTTATGTTCTGTGGCTATTATGATAATGGTGATGAAGTAAAAGATGTGGATTTAAAATAAAAATAAAATAAAATAGTTTATTCAGGACACTTTTACACGTCCCAAATATAGCTTGCCTTACCAAACTCTGTCATCTTTGAAATTGTACAGTTACTTACTTACTTATTGGTTTTCAGTTTTCAGAGGTAAGTACCTATCTATTCTGGGCATTTAGAAGATAAGTAGGATATTATTATTGACCTGGTATCTACTTTGTGGTTAACTTACAGCGCCATAAACGTGTCTTTCAACATCAACACGCTGAAGGACATCCCGCTGGCCCAGGACGAGAAGCTGGTCATCTTCCTCCACGGGTTCATGGACGACCCTGGCTCGAATACCTTCAAGACTGTCAGCGAGGCGTTCTATAAGAAAGGTAAACTATTTGCAATCTGTCTTTAAAAGCGTACCCTCGGTTTCTTCGGACATATTATGCGGTCTTCAAGGCATTGTCTGGAGGAACAAATTATCGTGGGACAAATGGAAGGTAGACGTGTTCGGGGCAGGGCACCGACGAGATGGTCGGACGCGGCGAGGAAAACGGTGGGCGAAAGCTTGCATCGTGCAGACCGCACACAGCTTATGACCGCAGTGGAGGAACACTATGTGTGGTCGCGATCCTCATCAGTGAGGCTTCGAGGAAGAAGTCTTTAAGACATTGAGTCGTTAAAACGTCCAGCTGTTTACTGTTACTGTTTCAATGTTCTTTGAAAGAAAAAATACCTAATTATGAGAAATGTCAAGGATGTCTGTCACTTATTCGTGGAACGACCAGCCTCCATTGATAACTTTGACCTTACTTCTTGAGTGATTGTCACGATCAATGTTATAAAGCTGAAGAGTTTGTATGTTTAACACGCTAATCTCAGGATTAGCGAAAACATTTTGTGTTGGATAGCCCATCTGACCAATAGTAGGTAGCAGAGAATCTATGAAAAATGTTGCGAAAACGGGAAAAAATATTCAAACGATTTTCACGTACGAAGTTGCGGGCACAGTTAAGTAAAATTATTAATTTATGCTACACGTTTATGTCTATCAATGGTCTGCAGGTAATTTATTACGAACAAACATAATATCTGCCTTCATTCAGTAGGTAATTGAAATGTTATTCTTCAATCTATTTGTGGTAGTTACATTTAGTATCCACTTAGCTAATTTTATTCTAAATAAAGCATACACCGGAATAATAGTGATATTATCATTATCCTCAACGACCATGTAAACTGCGCCATCAAGATGCCAATGCACATAAATTACTTTGATGTGCCGTGTAGCTGTAGGTATAAACATGGTATACTTACTTAGCGTACCTAAATAATATGCACAAGGATGTACCTACACCACATCAGACTTTACGTTTTTGTTCCAAATGAGCATTTCATTACAATTTCATACAAGTGTAAACAGTGGTTAATTTTATGTGCTCTTGTTCCGTAGGTGTAAAGTAGTGGTAGGTACGGAGTGTTTTTTAAATTAAGAAGTAAATTATTAAACTTCATCTATATATATAAAAGAAAGTCGTGTTAGTTACTTCGCTTATAACTCAAGAACGGCTGAACCGATTTAGCTGAAAATTGTCAGGGAGGTAGTTTAGAGCCAGGAGAAGGACATAGGATACTTTTTATCCCGTTCGAAATTAGAAAAAAAAAGTCTGCTTATTTATTGCCATTAAGGCGGAACAAAGTTCGCCGGGTCAGCTAGTTTTTAAATAAAATTGTAATACAAGAGTAAAAATTATTTTTAGGCAATTCATTAAATGGTAAGCACGGAATCAAACCTAGAAACTCGAGAGAGTCGCTTCCAAACCACTGGACCATAGCAGAGGTTTGTATTCGCAGAATCGAGGCGTTAAATTAAGGACAGATTTTATCAGTCATCAATTACTGGTCATAATGTAAAATGTAGAGCCGATAATAAAGAAAGGGCCATCCATCGTGCACAGCCCTGAAGTGTCTCAATAGCGTGAAATAAATTGAGCATTAACCGCGATATCGCGTTGTCCTTTGCCTTTGAAGACTCAAGTTCAGCGGGAACTGACGTCACTGCGCGGATTATTCCACTTTGTTCACCTGGGTGATATCACTCGGGTGAAAGTCGTGAAAGTGGAATTTTTCGTGTCTTCATTTCACCTTGGAACCATTTTCCAGGTGAATTGATTCGACTAAAGCGGTCAACTTTGTTCACTTAGGAATTAATTCACCCAGGTCTCAGCATCTGTTTGAATCTGGGTGAATTAATTTTTAGGTAAACAACGACGACTGACGACGAAAATGAAGCTGGGTGAAATGGTTCTGAGGTGAAATGAGGACACTGAAAATTCCACTTTCTTTATCCAGGTGATATCACCCAGATGAACAAAGTAGAATAATCCTACTGCGCTGGCGCCACAATCGTTGGACACGCGAACCATTGTGCAGATGCAATTTTGTTGTTGCAACTGGTATTTTATTAATAGCAAGCCATGTAGTGTGCGTGGATGATACTATTATGGAAATAACGAGTTGTGTGTTGTTCCGAGGCAAAACATCTGTTTTTGTAACTTAGTAGATAGTTCCTGCCCGCATTTTTAGCTGCGTGGGTTTTGGGATCTAGATTTTTTTCTCGCTATAAAAACACAATCGTTAATACCATTTTCATAAATTGAGAATAGATGGGCTTTCATTTTTAGTGGGGAACTTTTCAAATAAAAGTAAAATAAGTATTTATTAAAATTATTACAAAAAGATGGTTTGTCATAAGTAAGAAACTATTATACGAAATTATAATGCGTTAGGCACGTGAAAAATGAACTTCTATTATTAAAGGATATTTATAGCCTGACTAGGAACATAAAAACCCTCGCCATTTTGCGGAAAACGAATGGTACTAATTTCTTTTAATGGCAACAGTAACTAAAAACTACATTGATATGTCACCTAATATGTCAGTCTATTGCTGTCAAAGTGTAAACAAACTTTATTTTAAATGTGCGCAATTGATCATGTGAATTAAATTGCTAAAATCTTTTTATAGTCGTGAAAGAAAAGTGGTTCACAATGTGTTAAAGTATTTGTCGAAGAGAAATACTAAGGGTTCGGCAATCTTTTCATTGAATAATGTTTCCGACAAAGGTTGTCAAATTGACTGACATGTTTATCGTATAGTACAGTCCACTATGAAAATGAGCTGTGGTTTGTTTCAACTACCTATTTTAAAGATTTTTGTCACTTGAATTTTATGGAATTGGGAAAGAAGTACCGAGTTTGAAGCGTTCATGAGCAGACATTGCAGTTGAGTATTCAAGTTCTGAATTTGATTATTGATGAATAATAAAATAAATCCTACTAGCTCGATTGATGGTTTCATTTAATTTATTTAAACCAGGTTACCTATAATAATATTTTTTCGTTAATTTATGAATATATCAAATTAGCCCGTAATCCTGAATCCTGATACATAAAGTTAGGCTATTAATTTAAAACAGGTACGACTGTACTCAGTGTTGCACTATCAAATGCAATTGACGCGCCTCTATGCCAGGGTTTTTATGTTCCTGGTCAGGCTATACCACCTGTATTACCACGTGATAAGCAAATGAATAAATAATTTATTTTTGCTAGCCACACCTCAGATGCGCGTAATTTATACCAATTAAGAATATTAAAGAAACGAGTTGCTTGAGTCAATAATGCATTCATTGCAGGTATTTACACCAGAAGTGGTTTAACCATACCTTCGTGGTTGATTTATTAATGCAATATTATCAGCTTAAATTACATGCTTTTGCATCAGGAGAACTTGAATTTTATGACTCACGTGACATTTGTTAATATCTTCTGGGAATCCCACTATAAAAAAGCAGGGAGGGGCGAGAGACATTACAAAAACCACTGAACAGATTTTTATTCGATTTTCATGACATTTCTTAGATTCATTTTTCATATTTTTTTCTGGTGATTAGAAAGAAAGCAAAATAATTTATTTCAAAATACCTATAAATAGGTAAGAATCAGACTCAGAATCAGAATATACAAATACTGGTGTGGTTTTTTGAACCAGGAAATTTCATTACGCATCATTATGATTTAAATCTTGTGTTTGTTTGAATAACATTTGTTTGTCAAACTGTATGAAGAAGTCATAAATGATTAAAAAACCCACTTCAGGCATTCTTGAGAAGTCTTCGTGAGGCCACATTATTAGGAAGTGGTTAAGAGCGTTTACGCGAAGCGCGGCGTTTTAAGGGGCATCATTGAAAATGAATCGCGCGCGGTGTTTTTTAATAGTTTTCAAATGTTTATAGCAAAACAATAACAATGAATTATATGTATATCGTTTCAAAGTTTTATTATATTAAGCTATTTTTATGTTGAATTAAAAAAGAATAATGGTGTAAAAATCACTTTGATTTTTGGGTATTTCGCGTTCTTTGAATTTGTGATTTCTTATTGTAAAATGCTTAAATCTAAAAACTTTCTTAATTAACTATTTGCCTAAGGACCTATGCTATAGGATATAAATGTTTGTTATATCGTTTTCACAGTATTTTTATTAAAATTTCAGCTTGTAAACTGACGCTGAAGTGGAAATTTGAAAACCTGTGTGGACTTATCTTGATAGTATTCTTAAATACTATACTAATCGAAATATTTTCTCAACTAACTATTTAGACGACAAAATTGCCTAATTATTTATGCCTATAACATATTTGTAATGTAACTGGTTAATGATTGTAACGGGTTGAAAAAGTACTGTTTTTGCGCCAAACGAGTAAAGAGTTTCGACTCGAGCCTCTCAAGTAACTTAAAAAGTCATAGGTAATCGTTTCAGCCAAATGACGTCCACTGCAGGACAAAGGCCTCCCCCAAGGATTTCCACAAAGACTGGTCCTGTGCTGCCCGCACCCATGCCTACTTCTCGCGATCGTCGGTCTATCTAGAGTCCTTTGGTGTCTCCTCTATTTGTGCGTGTATGAGGGTCCATAAGAAGATAAAAGAAACGTACACTTTAGATGATGATTTAGACACTGACTTGTCACATAAGATTTCAAACAGTTTTGTATAACGCTTTACATATTAGGAATACGTATGAGTAATCTCGCTAATGACCGTTACAGTCCTAATACTTTACAATGTTTTATTTACAGGCAAGCACAACGTGTTGGCGCTGGACGCCAGCCCGCTGATCCACTGGCTCTACCTTCGAGCCTCCACCTACGTGCGCTTCATAGGGGAGAAGCTCGGCGCCATGCTGGCACAGATGGCCGAAGGTAAATGTTCTTGAACTACATTGTATGGCTCTTGGCGGGAAAGTGAAGCGCCATGATTTGCAGTAGCAAAACAGCCGAAAATTAATCTCAAATGATAATGAACGAGTTTTAGAAATTGCTTCAATTACGAATTGCCTACGAAGTCGAAAACAAAGTGCTATCATGACCTCTTTGCCATTTTCCATGCCCTACTCAACAGGAACCCTCCAAGTCACTAGATCAGACTCAATTATGCAATCTATGAAGTAAGTATTAAACTGACTTTGAAAATTCTTTAACAAATAGAAAGCAACATTCTTCCTGAGTGGCAGAGGTCGATAAAATAGATAAAAATTCACGCTGCTGCAAATCTCTGTAACATTATGGAAAGCCACAACCAAAATCTGTAGTTTTTTCTAATAAAAGACTTTCTCATCCAGCCGGCTACGACCCGTCGAACTTCTACATCGTCGGGCACAGTCTGGGCTCGCACATCGCCGGGTTCACGGGCAAGCAGTTCACCGGGCTTACCGGGAGCCGGGTCGGCCGGATCACCGGGTTAGACCCGGCCGGGCCGTGCTTCTCGCACGTCGATGATGACGTCAGGCTGAACTCGACGGATGCGGAGTTCGTGGACGTGATCCACACTGATGCAGGCGTGTTCGGACTTAAACAGCCTGTTGGTGAGTTGACTAGCGCCCGTTTGCTATCAATCCCTATCCAAATCTGTCCATCAACTGTCAAAGGACAATGTTCGTTCTCCATACATTGTTCGCCGTTAGATCAACAGTGCCGAAAAAATACTTTCTAGGTTCTAAATGACACAAATCTTTATGTAAGAATAATTATACCTGGCGGACCAATTCTATAAACTTATTGATAGCAATATTGTTATCATAACCTCTTACTTACTAGTATTGTATTATATTATTTTATGCACATCGATTTGGGAGATGTTCTGTATTGTAGTTGTCGCAGCCAAATTGTATTATAATATTGGACGGGTTTTGGAAATAGCTCGGCGTTCCACTTTTATGATTTACTTACTTACATTTTGCACGTAAATAAATAACATGAATCCTATGTTTACTTTCCACTCTTGACATTTAACACGTGACTTACCAAACTAACTATCTCCATGGTTACCGTCTTAGTCTATGCATGACTAGGGATTGAACAACTTTTAATTGAATATTATTAACAATTCTCGATAATTATTATCGATTGAAAAATATTCGGTATTTGAATCGAAAGATATATTCAATTTTATCAATATCAAAATATTCAATTTTAATAATAAAATAAATATTATTTACTACCACCTATGAAATGTTCTGAAAATTGCCTGGAGCGCTCCCCCAATCCTGGGTTTTCCCTTTCCAAGCTGAGAGGATATCATTTTGGTTCTATCGATACATTATAAAGGTACTTAATATTTGAAATGTATTACCAATTATTGTTATAAGCATTTTGAGCGAATAAAACTTTCAATTCTATTAGAACTTTAGACATTTCTCTCACTTTAAGCGGCATTGGATTTTTCATCGAATTTTGAAACTGTAACAGATATATTAAAGATGATCCCATATTGTTGTCATTGTCTATATCAGTGTTATGATCACAATTCTTTTTATTTTATTCATGACCTTCGACCAGTTGGACACATTAGATAGCTTCTTGTAGTATCGTGCAATATATTTTTAACTTTTAATTAAAATCTAGTCATACTGTAGCAATTTGGACGATTTATTTTATTTACAAGATCGGTATCTTATTGTCTATGATGACCGCAGTCAACATCACTATTACATGGATTCCTAACAATGAAGTACGGCATTGCCTTGTGCCGATTTTACATAGATTTTATCGACACAAATTATGGAACTTCATAGGATATGGAGCAGGCCACGCCCTAAAATGTCCGGATGTCGTCATAGTATTATGGAATACATATAAAAGACTTTTATTATTTCATTTTCTAATCCTCAAGTGTCCGTTACAATCTAATTAATATTTAAGTATTCAAAAAGTAAGAGATTAATTTTGATACTTTACTGCTGTGCCCAGGAATCTAAGGCGGTTTCTGACAATGTCCTTTCAGTCTGTTTTCGGTCAAATATCCACAATTTTTGTAAAAACATCGAAACCGAGGATATTTTAACGGACGGATTTGGATTGGGACTAACTTACTTCATTTTAGCAGGAGCCCTAAGTTCGATCGCAAAAAATTGTAGACCTATAAATTTTCCGTCAGAAACGAAGTCTAAGTACATGCTTCTAACCCAATTTATTTAATTGGTAGGTAGGTTACACCTACTTCATTTTGGTTTTGAAACAACGCAACGATCAAATTGTGTCGAATTTCAATTATTATTATTATTATGCCAAAAACAGCATGAATGTACTCTTCTTAAAATATTTTTCGAATCACTAATGTAGAGCGTCCGTTGCATCCATGCAATACGAGTCAAAAACTTTATGTCAGCTGACATTCGTCTTTGCATCTTCCAGGGCAAGTGGACTACTACCCCAACAGTGGGTCGCTGCAGCCCAACTGCCTATGGGAGACGTGTAGCCACAGCCGCGCGTGGAGGCTGTTCGCCGAGTCGGTGCTGAACGAAGCCGCCTTCCCCGCGGTCAAGTGTGAGAGCTGGGAGGCGTTCTCTAAGAAACGATGCTCCAATGAAGTCAGGTAATAAAGAGGTCTATTCCACTTTGATCACCTGGCTTTGATGACCCAGGTGATCAAAGTGAAGTGAAAAGAAGAGAAGCTACTGGAAAAATTATATGTGTTGGATAGCCCATTTATCAAGGAAGGCTTTATAATGTAACATCACACTACGGCCAATAAGGGCGGAGCAGTAATGAAAACGTCACAAAAAATTCAAACTATTTTTACGCGTAAAGAAGTCGCGGGCACATTTTAATACAAAAAACAATAGGAATCGTCAGGTTAAAGACACGTGGAATGACAATAGGAATGTAAAGGACAAACAACTCACGTAAAAGCACGGTGAAACTGGCGAGGTCTTTGGTCTGAACAGCCCTAGCTGGGCTTCCTCGGCTTCTGCTCCAACTGAAGGCACACTGAGCTGATGAGCTCACGTAATCTTCAGAGTCCCATGAGACACACCGAAAACAATGCACTTTGTTTGTAGTCACAAAACTTTAAACACTGGCACAAAAACACTTTAGTTTTCAATCACAGTCGTACAAAACAATTAAGAAAAAAATACAAATACATAACCTCCAACAAAACACAACAATGGGATTGACTGCCGTTCCAAATTCGAATCCAAACCAATTTCATGCTGCTGCACCGATGCTGATGTCGATGGAATCTTGCAATAGGTATTGGGTCTTCCGAGTCTTCTCACTCACTCCTATATACTTCGCACATTGTAAAAAGGAGAGGGAAAAGGAGGGTATTTTTTCGTGTCTACCCACGAAAATGTTAATTTTAATAAAATTACATTAATACTTAAACAAACGATGAAAGAGTTCTCGTTAGACACAAAATTTAAAAATAGAACGTAAATTGTTTTTACGGTGGTACCAACTGCCTAAAAGTTAACAGTGTCTTTGGTTAAATTGTTTTTTTTAATAACCATGGAATATTCCATCAAATAATTAGTTTACTTACGGCATCGCGAGTGTCGATAGGACACTTTAAAGCCTTGATCACACGTACAGAGTAAACGGGCGAGACAGTAAATGTTTACTCGGTCGAGACAGTTGGGCATAGAGTTATCAGTTGGGTGAGCGAGTCACATACTCGAGCGCTCGGCCGAGCACTCGGCGTAATGTTCATACACACCGGGTACTCGGCCGAGAGCACTGTCTCGCGTTTGCTCGGTACGTGTGATCAAGGTATAAACCAGTGGTTCTTAACATTTAGGTCACGAGGGACCATTTTAGCTTTCTGTCTTGTCAGGGACCACTTTTTTTTTCAAAATCCTATGAAAGGGGAGGTCGATTTCTCGCCCACTGTGCGCCGTTTTCGTTATGTTGACTCGACTTATCACGTCACGTTACTTGTTTTTTACGATGTTACGATGTCTTCGTGGACCACTTGGAATGCCTCCAGGGACCACCAGTGGTCCGCGGCCGGTGGTCCACAGAATCACTGGTATAAACGGTGAAACTGAAGTTAATCAACTATCTTTTCCAGTTACATGGGATTCCCCTCCCAACCTGGCACTACGGGGCTCTACTACCTACAGACAGGGGAAGTCAGCCCGTACGGGCTCGGAATGAACGGGACAGTATACGTCAACAATGAGGGCATCGTCAGGAACATCTTGAAAGGGTAAATCTGGTCAAACAGGGGTAGAAAGTGTTGCCATGCGAAATAAATCCAGTCCAACAGTGAACAAATATTAATTTAAATCTTCTTTTAAACTTTCAGCAAGCCTTTTACAATAACAAGTATTCTCATAGCTGTGGCAAATGATAAACCAATTTATTGGCATAAAACGATTTAAATTGATTCGTATTTGTTAAAACTGCAACGAAAATCAAAACAATATTTTTCTTATATTAAGTGACATTTATACGTATTACCTCAATAAAGCAATTAATGTTTATTTATTTATTTAAAACTGTATTCTAACAAAGTACAAAATGTATTTTATATCTGCTAATCTTAGACTGTATAAGTAGGTGTGAAAATAAAACGATCCAATTTAAAACAAAGCATTTTTATTTTATTTCTATTTGATAACTTCTTCTCGTAAATACAAAATAATACGGAGCTGGGACGAGTAGAAAAATAAACATCTTCAATAAATATGGGACGTAACACAAGTGGACTTTGCGCTCTCGGAGAAGAAAACTTTAAAGACGTACCTATATTACACAAAAACAATCATATCTGTTTGAAAATAACGTCTAAACGTTCTTATACAGATTTAATAATATAAATTATGTAAATTTTTAAATCTCAGCGTTTTATTAAACGTTCTAAAAATCCTTCCATTACGTTACCAATACCTACAAGGCACTAAATGAGTGTTATCCTCAATTTTGTCACACAAAAACTAAGTTTTTACGTAAAATCGAAACAGGAGTTATCTTCTCCGAGCACACAAACGAAATAACGATAGGGCTCGCGAATTTGACACAAAAGCACTGATGATTATCAAAATCTGTCATTACCATGGCATATACATTTGTACCCATAACACTTCTGCCTCAAACCCACAAGCCCCTCCAAATAAATGTCATATACATAAAAAAGACAAACATTACAATTAAAATCTGATTCACAATCAGTGCCGATAACTTCATAATATAAACTTATGTACTATTACAAAAACTTTACGTCTAGCTAGTGTATGAAATATATTAATAATAATAATTGTACAATATCAGTATCATTTCCAACGTTTTGCAAACTGGTGTGATGACTCCGCGGTATTCCCTAATGTTAGCACTAACATTAAATCATTCCATCCGGCTCGAAGGACCATAGTCCTGGAAGCCGACTATACAACTCCTTATATAAACATTTGCTTGCATCCGTATACGTAAAGCATGCTATCTACAACGATACTAATAAGCATGCTTTCGACCACGTACAGCGAAGTCAAAACAGTAGTTCTTGAAGAGAAATAAATCTTAAAATATCTATTTAAAAAATTATAAAAAAGAAACACTTTGTGTCATGATCTAGTTAATTCTATGAATTTGTGAACAGTTTTGGAATGTCCTGTTATATTAAGATATACAAAAAAATCGACGCGTTGCTCATATAATAGTGTGCTCGTTGAAATTATAATAACATCTTATTCAATCATTAGAACAAATCAAAAGCTCTATCAAGTGATAATACCACGAAACGGCATCAACAGTTAATGTAACTTCTTAATACTCAATTTGACCAATCAATATAATCAAGATGACAGTAATAATGTTAACGTGTGATGAAACTATTATTTCAACGAGTAACGATTGTGCTTGTGAATATAAAGACGAAATGCTCGACTGGCCTTAATATACGCTAACACCGACTAAGCATCGCCTTGTGGGAAATCGACCACGTAATAATAATTTGCCAATTAACATAATATAGTCATAAGAATAATTATAAGAATACAATAGATTTAGCAATCTCAAGGTAAAAGTTTCATAAAAAATCCAAATTATACTAAGAGATCTATGATCGTAAGAGTTTTCAAATATTGCACTGAAATCTAATATCATTTTAATTACTCACTCAAGTCATAAAAATAAGTAGATCCGGTTCTAAGGACCAAAATGATCCTTCGAGCCGGACATTAAGGCGTTTTAAACAATGGTCGATCGTCCCACATGTTTTATAGGTTATACTAATTCCACGTACAGGGTAAAACGAAATAGACCGTAACTATAACCTAAGTAGCACCTACCGCTGAATATACTCGCAACCGTCATAGCAACACCTCAATATATTATTTTATGCTTTAACATACATTTATGTGTTGACTCTGTGGGCCCTGGGTGATTGTACAACCCATGTTTCACTCTAACACATTCATTAGTAACTAATTGTTACTGTCATGTGATGTCATGCTTAATTCAATTGTAATTTACACATTAAAATGTTCAAACCGAGTTATAGAGTAAAACAGCAATAAACAAACAATTTAGAGTCAAAATATTATATTTTCAAATAGAAATAATCTTCATTAGTCCCATGCTACGTTGTCGCGATTAAAGTTTTTAGTCATAAGATAGAAATCATACTTTTTAATCTAAAAAACGGTGGTCTACCTCGTGTGACATATTTTAAAGCTAATCCGTATTGAGAGACGTTAAATATGAATTTACACGAACACTTCCTTACTATGGCAACACTCATTTGCTACAAGCCGTATAATATGTACCGGTTAGCGGGGTGAGCGCAGGCTTATTCGTATAATAATAAACTACTCACTTACTACTTACTTTGAGGCATTATTGTATCGCTAACTTTATACATCGACTGTCAATTCCAATAGCTGTCAAATTTAGTTATTTATGTAGTTAGGTGTCTTAGAAAAAAGGTTAGTTGAAATACGAATGCGCCCGCGCTCCATGCTACACACAGAAGTATCGTATAATATCGCCTTAGCCTAAGCTTATAAAAAACTTTGAAAAATGCTCACCGCCCTAAACATGTATTTTACATACAATAAAAATTGCATTTCTTAACTTTAATAAAATAAATCGAAGGTGCGTTTCGACGTCACAACATCAAATATAATAATTAATTAACACTGTATCAATCAATTAATATAAATGTTTTTTATTTAAATAACTTAGTATTAATATTCGCAGTGATGTCGCTTAAAACTATGTATGTAAACATACTGTAGACATGACTCGAGTTGCCATATTGGAATATTGTGATGGCAGAGGCATACTCGGTTTGACGCCGTAGTCATAGTTAAAAAGTGTTATTACTGTCTTGAAGGTTGGCAGCGATGGAGTGTTGCCAGCCACAGGATCCAAGATGGCGGCGCGGGCGCGTTACGGCTGCGTGCTCTGCTGTTGGATTTCGATTTTCTCTACTGTCATGTCTGGGTTCATTGCAGTGGCCTCCTGTGGACAGAATAATCAAACGTTATAGTGTGTGTTAGCAACTAAAGTCACAGCTCTGGTAACAGACTTTATTAGTCACCATAGTCTGCTTGTGACTACCAATACAGCCGAAACGTCAAGCTGTTAGTATTTACTTAAAATTTGAGTCCCATTACTCTCAGTTTTATAGGATTTCATTCATAGTTTCCCCCAATCATCAAATGGTTCAGGCCGTTTGGTTTATAGGAAGTACGAGCACCCATTTCTAAATTATCAGAGGTAAAAAGAGGATTTGGCTTAAATTCCCTACGTTTCGATTTTCTCTACTGGTGGGTCTTAACAGATTTTTAAGGCATGGTAGGTACGTTCTAGACACTTAAGAAATAACGTAAAGTTATGTAGGGCTTCTTAATTTTCAAAATACATGGGAGCTGGGGGTATGCCGTCTTCTGTCAAGGGGGTTATGTTTATTATTATAGCACTGACCTGGATGGCCTCGGCGAGCGCGCGGTCATGGTCGATGGGGTCGCCGTCGGACTGGATGGTGATCTTTTGCTCCACGCGAGTCTCCACCACGCCGTTGCGCTCCGTCTTGTACTGGAATAATAATGATGTCATTTAATACGCGTGATATATCCTTATGCATACTTGTCTACTTGTCTATAAGGTACTGAATGTCTTCCACGTCTCAGCATGCCAAATATGCCAAACCAGCCGATATGCTGATGGTGTCAGCCATATTTGGCATAAAATCTGCCTATCTCGGGCCAATATATTATGCTAATAAATAATTTGATTTTGATCACAGTTTTTTACACACTCAGGTCTCATCACACTTTTTCGGCAACTTAGTTGTCTTTAATATTTAAATGTAATTTTACAGCGAGAATTAATTAAATTTTGACGACTGAAAATTTTGAGTTTTTTCAGTGAAGTTGTGTCTTAAAACTATTGGTGAATAGTGTCGACTGTCTAATTATTGGTTAAAGCTGAAGTAATCATATCTATTCAGCATTTCAGCCACAGGACGTCCACTGCGTCCATAGGCTTCCCCCATACATTTCCAGATTGGCTGGTTGGCAGCGGCCTGCATCCAACACCAACCTTTATGAGGTTCACTTTATGTGGATATACCACGCTGCGCTTGCTGATTCACTCTCATTAACTAGCTAAAGCCTGGTCCGTGAGCACGTAGAATTTTGTCCAATGACCCCAAGCTACCCATCCTTATCGCTCGCGCGTTATGTTGCTGTCACGCTCGCACACTCACTGCGGGCGCGCGTCGCACAGTCGCGACAGCAATATAATTACGCGCGAGAGATAAGGATGGGTAGCTTGGGGTCATTGGACAAAATTCTACGTGCTCAAGGACCAGGCTTTACAGAATATGTCACTTACTGTGATGGTTTCAACGGTGCGCGTCTTGGAGCTGATGGTCTGCGAGGAAACCACCTCGCCTTCGGGCGCCGGCGTCTCGGGCTCGTCTACGATGGGACTGGCGCCCGTACTCGTCTGCGGAATAATCTTCCATTTATACGTCATCCTAAAAGGTGACGATTTAATTTATCTGCAGAGCTGTAGCTAAGCCTTCCACCTAAGCTTTTGAAGCTAATTGATCAAGGTGCTTTAACATAAATATAATTTCTAATTTGTTACACGAAATCCTATACATTCATTGGTAGCTACTCTATTTAAGAAACTATGTTAAAGCTAAGTAGAAATATAACGTCTTAAAGAAAGAAAAGTTCTTTGGAGATTATGATAGGTTTATTTAAGAAACTGAGCAGAATATTGCCCCTGCCAGCTTATATCATGGAGGCTTATACTGCCTACTATTCTAAGGGCTTAAAGGACAATGACCAAAAGTGGTCCAAATGTCCACCACCAATGAGACCTATATTGGCTTATAGTCCATTAAATAGAGATTAACTTTCAGTATGGGACGAAAAAAAAATAAGCTGTCAGTAAAAAGTTATGACTGTTTGAAAAGTTGTAGTAGTTTACGTGCTAATCTCAGGAACTACTGGTCCGATTTGAAAAAATCTTTTTGTTATAGATAGCCCA